ATGGGTTCAGATTTGTTAAACAGTTTGGATTTAGGTTTCTTTGAGAAATTTTCTTTCAAAAAATCTTTCCTAAGGGCTGTTTTGATAAAGTGGTTGACTTTTTGCTCTGTTTATGAACGAATATAGCGAATAAGTTACTGATCAAGAGTGGGGTGCTCATAGTTCAATTAACTAAACCGTGGGCCTTTTCTCCAACCTAAACCTAAATTAGTCTTTCAGTTTTTGAAAACCATGAACCAAAATCAATTGGTTAATCAGTTGATCTATTCGGTTTTTGATTAATCCGGCTTTTTGTTTTTATATTTTATAATATATATTATAAATAAATATATAAATATATAATATAAATACTAGAAATATATATAATACATATATTTATATATAATATATATGAAAATTAATATTATTATAATATATATACCGGTCAGTTTGATTAACCGGATTTTTTTGTTTGGTTTGGTTTTCAATTTTTTATGAGAACTCCTATTCAAGAGGTTGGGCTCTTTTGATGGTTGTTACTGAAGTTTGGTTGGTTACTGTAATCTCAAATATTTTGTTCGTTAATTACTTTATGCACTAAAGTCGTTCAGTTCAGCTATTTCAGCCATTATTTAAAGACCCCTTTTAGCAATATTTTTAAATTTGTCACAGAAATGGAATTACTTTTCTATTACGGTGGCTGTCAGCAGTTTCTATAGGTTCGAGTCAAATAGCCGGTCAATCCATTTTACCATAAATAAAATAATAAAAATACAAAAATATAAAAAATTGCAGAATTTGGACATGCATAAAAAACAAGGCTCCATTTGGTTGCAGTGCAAATGTAAATCAGATACAAATTTTGCATCCAATTCAGTTTTACATTTGTTTGTTCATAACTATGATTTGCACTCCTGCTTAATACAAAAATTATATTTACTGTCTCATTAGTCATTTGCATTCACTAGAAGTATAAATTTTGTATAAAAAATTGATGCAAAATTTGCACCACCTTCCTCCTATCTCAACTCTCTCTCATATAAAGTGGGAATCACATCGTCTTGCTTCCTACTTTACTCTGAAACAAATAACCCTCCTCCTACCTTATTCCAAAACAAACACCCATACTCTTATGCATTTACACCAGTGCAAATAGCATGCAACCAAATGCAAATTGTCTAGCCTTTTCTGAGGCCAAACTGATTTTTAACACAGTCTACAATTTTGTTCAAGCAAAGTTAAAAATGTCAAAGCACTTCGCAGTTATGATATATACCCTTTTAATTAATTACCAAGGCTGCATTTGGAAACGATGCAAATAATTGTGAATGCAAATATGTAAAGTGTAAAACGGTCCATATAAATTGCAAAGTTAGATAAATTTTATACTAACAAATTTACCTTCTTACCAAATAGACTTAGCCGTACTGAATGCAAACACTAATTTCAATAAAATATATGCCTTTTTTTTATCAAAAACCCACTTGTATTATTATTAATACAAATATACATTGAAAAATGTATTTTCTGTGATTTATCAATACATAAATGTAATGTTATCAAACACAGGCAAAAGTAAACCAGAATACAAATTTACCCTGAATCAAAATTTATACTCCATTTGCATCGTTTCCAAACACAGCCTAAGGGTGTGGCATTATGCCATATTGGAATTTTTAATGCAAATTTCGAATCCAATATTTTATCCAGTCATATCCTTTATCAAATCTAAGTAATATAATAATGTTTTACCACCATCTATATATGCCCCTTTCCTCTTCATTCACCAACTGAACACAACTTCTGACAAACAATAATTGAAGAAGAAGAAAACAAAGTCAAATGAAGGAGAAGAGGGAGGGTGGAAATAAAGAAAATGGGGGTACACCATGTGGTTTTTTAAGAGATGGACAGGTTTTCACAGACAGTTAAGATTCAAAGGCAGCATCACTAAATATGTTTGTTTGTTTGTTTCTATATTAAAGGTAGAAACATGGAAGATGAGACTACTTCCAGAATAAAGAGTACACTCTTTTTATCTTTGCTCCACTGAGCTAAAACTGTGGGCAACACTATTCCCTTTCCTAGGAGTGTACAGACAGTTGTATTTTGGTATATCATGAAACCATAATGCAGAGTTTGAAATTTCTCTCCCCCTTTCTCTCTCAAGTGGAGAATAATATTATCTTATAACTAGCATGTGGCGCATGCAACAACTAGATGAACAGAACCTCAACCCCGTAACCCCAAAATGAGTTGCAGCTGGGGAGCATTACTCCAAAAATTTCCCCTTTTTTTAGGGTTTTTTTAGTGCCATACAATAAATTTTTAGATATCTATATCTATGCTACTATGCTACTATTAAAAGTATGATTATGGTTTTCAAAATCGGACTGGACTGGACGGTCAGACCAAAAAAACCGAGAATCGGTCAGCTGATCGGTTTCGTTTTACCCCATAACCATTATTTCCCCCAAAATCGTTGATTTGGTCAGTAAACCATTGATCCGGGCAGTCGGACCGTTTGAACCGTTCAATGGTTTGGCTGATTTTTATTTTTTTTATTATTTTTGTCAGAACAGGCCATCTGTTCGGTTCAAACAGTCGGACAGTTCGACTCGGGAACCGGACCCTTGACTGGTTCGTTGTCCGGGTCGGTTTTAAAAACATTGAGTATGGATACGTTTGTAGCGAAATTGTTTTATTAAAACATTCATATTTTGAATTTAGTCTCTCTAAAATTGCGAGGATAAAAAATTCCTTCTAATTAAGTCTTATACTTAAGGTATTAACTCCCATGTTCTATTTAATTAAATTGTACATTTATGATATTTTTTCTTACCAATAAATTCTATTAATTAGATTTATATCCGATGCTTTTAACAATATGAAACCCATGTTTTTAAAACTGACTCATTAATAAAGTTGTTCTATTCAGGTGCCATGTGATCTATTCAACTATCCCAGTCAAATGAATCAACCCATTATGTCATAATTAAAAATAAAAATTGAAAAAGATAAAAAAAAAAACACAAAACTTATGAAAAAATACATATATTTTGTTATAAACATTTGAACACATATCTAATATTATATATTCATTATATTAAATAAAAATAAGTGTGATAAATAAGAATTGTTCTTATACAAGTAGAAATATATGAAAAAATTAGATACATATTATTATTATCATCACCAACTAATTAAAATTTCCACGTACAAATTTGTTAGTTACGTTTTTCAAAAAGTATAATTTATTAAATATATCTTTGACTAAAGGGGTGTTCGGCAACATGGTTGTTAAACACCCTCTAAATGAACTCTGCACCACATCAGATCTTGACCGTGTTTAAGAGACATATATCTAAGATTTCAATGAATTAGCTTCCATTAAGTTAGCACAGTTCCATGTTTACCATTCAGTACTTCAAATTTTCATTCAAAAATTCAAAATATCCCAATGTATTGATGGCTTTATGTCATATGATATGTATCAATTTTGAATCCATCAATATATATATATATATATATATATATATAATTAGACTCAATTAAACCTTAACGTAAGGGTATGTGGTCAGCTACATGAATCCTGTTCTGCCATTCTGCACTTTATTTAGTGCCATGTCCATTGTTAAATTATGGGTTTTATTTAGTGTCATATCCATTGTTAAATTATAGGCTTTTGAATCATTTCTCACCACAATTCATGTCCTTTTTTTGTCTTCCCTTAGATCCTTTAGAACATGGTTTTCAAAACCGGACCAGATCGGATGGTCGGACCAGAAAAACCAAGAACCGGTTCTGTTTTCCCCAAAAACCGGATTTCCTCCCAAAACCATTGATTTTGGTCAACGAACCGCTGAACCAGACGGTTAACCGTTCGAACGGTTTTAACTGTTTTTTTATTTTTTTTGAATTTTTTATTTTCTTGTTAGAATGGGCCGAGTGTTCGACCCGGTAACCGGACCCCTGACCGGTTCGGTCATCGGGTCTGTTTTAAAAACCATGCTTTAGAACATTCAACTTGTAACAAATTTTTAAAAATACATAAAATTAAAATTACTACAAATTTTCTAAGTATGAAATGCTTGAAGAACTCATAATTAATTAACAAGAGATATGATACTGAATGGAATGGAATGACAAAGTAGGATTGATGCAGCCAATCCATGTAGTTGTGACAAGGCTTGGATGATAATGAGACTATTTGATACGCTTTCTTCTTTTAAGAAGAGCATAATCACCTTAATTGGATCATCACTCTTTATTTAGGGTTAGGTTTATGATGATCGAGTCAACACAAGAGTCTATTCTGTCCACAAAATTTCACTACAATATATCTGGATGGTGTATTTAACAGATGAATGAATTAGCTAGTAGTGTGGTCTGTTTTCTAGTGGAGTTCCTTCTTTATTTTGTCTTCGCTCGTTTCAGATCTAGTCCATTTTTGTCGGCTTTTGCCACAACTTGCATTCTTTGAATCTGTAATCTGAGCATTTCATTATGAATCAATGAATTTTGCCTTTTAAGGCTTCAATAAAGGAAAAGATAACTAAGACCCACTATCTACGCCATTAACCCAGCAATCTATAATGCCAAAAACCAAAAAAAAAAAAAAAAGAGAAAGAAATCCAACCTTCTGCGGCCAGAGGTGAGCCCCAGTATAAAAACCTTCATTGGCTGCATCTGTCTTTATTGGCTAGACTGTGTTCTGAGTTCCGTGCTGTTCTGTAATCATTCAACAGGTTACATCGCACAAACCCAGGAGTGAGACTAGACAATCATTCTCCATAAGAGTTAATTCTCGCTTTTTTCTCTCTACTGATCGATTGATGAAAGAAAGGAAGATATAAGATAATGACAAGGTGGTGTCCTGTTGAAATTTCATTTAGGTGCATTGAAACTGAAAAAGAATATGATATGGTCGAATCTCTTTATTGTGTGCCCTCACTTCCAGCAGATCTAAGAGGATTTCTGCATTCAATAAGTCACTAACGATATCAGAATGGGATGGCTATAAATATCTGCTTCTCTAATGAATCTCTGCCCATTAATTCTTCTTCCAATCTCAATCAAAGGAGGGAAGAAAAGAACTAGAGAAGTCTAGATGCTAACCATGGCAGAAGAAAGAACAAAAGGGTCTATTGCTGTCGCTTTGTTCTCTATTGTTCTTCTCGTCTTTCCTCTGGGTATGTTCTGTAACTCTGGAATTAAGTTGCTTTTGCTTTTGTATATTTTCTCTAGTTTTGGTTTTGGTCTTGGTCACGTACTTTCTCCTGTAAGTTCCATGCTGGCCACTCATTTSAAGGTTTTAACGGTTTCCAAAGGGGATTCTTTTCTGTTCACTGTGGCAGAGAGAATTCATGTCCACACAAGGTGGTTTGGTTTATATGGATTTCACGTGGGTTTCAATCTATGTTAATGCTCTTAATTTGTTTTCGATAACAATGTTAGTGCTCAGATTTAAGAATATATTAAATCTTAAATCTGAGTAAAAAAAAAAGATTTAAGAATATATTAATGTGTTTTTGCCCCATGAGTCCATAAAAAATTATTCCATATTTAATAAAAAATGAAGGATTAATGTGACAAAATAAAATCCATGCACTGCATCTATGAAAGTTGGGTATTCAAGGAATACTATCCCAACCCATATTTGGGGTTATGGGTGCAAGTAGGGCTGGGTTAGGTGAGTTTTAGATCAGCCCTAACCCTAATCCAATCCCACCTTTCTGATTGGTGTTGGGTCAGGTTTGGGTTGGTTCAGTTTCTTGATTAGTGGATCAAGGTTTCCTGATTTTAGCATTATTACATGTACAGAGACAAAATTTATGGTATTTTAGAAGTAACATACTTGTATCTGATTAGAAAATTTTCTCCCTTAAATTTGTTGATACAGACATACATATAATACAGACCAAGGTTGGGGCGTATCAGCTTGTATCTTGGCTTGTTCTTTTTTTAGGGTTTTTTCTCAAACTGATTCAGAGGGGATGTCAGTTAAAGGCCTGTCTACCACCTGAACCAGGTCAGACCCCGAAACATCCCCTATAGGGCATTTCAAACCATTTGACCTAGGAATATGCTCACCTATCTCGTTCCATTTTTTAATTGGCCTAGATTTTCTTAGAAATCATTGAAAAAATCAACAAACCATTGACCTAGAAGGTTGAACCATTAAACTATTCAACCTAAACAACGGTTTTGAACTACTTTTTATTTTAAATATTATTTACTTTTTAAATTTTTTAAAAATATCATAAATCGGTCTTTCAACCCAAAAATCGATGGCTAAAGTGATTCTGTTTCTGGATCAATTTTCCAAACCTTGGCATTTATACACAACAACATAAAAATATGATGAATTGGGATTAGTTTGGGTTGGCTTAAACAAAAAAATAAAAAAATAAAAATTGGATTGGATAGCCTAACACCTCAACCCTTGTCCAATCCAAAGTTAAATGAGTTCATATTTTTAAACATAACCCTAACCCACAATACAACCAAACTTTTTTTTTCCTTTTTGAATTGGGTCAAATCAAGGCTAACCCAGCCCATGTTGCTCCCGGCAAACTCGTGTATGTGTTGTGGCTAAAAAGCCTAGGATTTGACCCATTCATCAGTTGGTTTGCATGCCAAGGCTCGAAATGATTGAGTAAGCACTCATTTCCTTGGTGTCTAATCATATTTGGTAAGGACTACACCCACTATAAGAGACATTAACATGTTTGGTTGCAACAAAAGTAATCTTTCAATAAAATTGAATTTGATCAAAAAGTTACACCGAGCAAGAGAGGATATAAAAGAAATAAATATATTTGATTAGAGGTATTCGAACTGCTGTTGATTCGGACGGTCGGACCGTTTGGCTCAGAAACTGTTCAGGTAACTGGTTTTGTTTTATCCTAAATCTGGTTTTTGGCTAAGAATTATTAAAAAAGTCAACAATCCGTTGACCCAGGTGATCAAACTATCAATCCATTGACCCATCAACGGTTTTTTTATTGTTTTTTATCTTTAATTATTTTTTTATTTTTTTTAATTTGTTTGTCAGAACGGACTGTCCATTCGAACCGAACAGCCGGACCGTCAACCCAAAAACCAGTGGCCAGCACGGTTCCATTTCCGGGTCGTTTTTTAAAACGTTGGTTATCATTATACCATCAAGACCGTCAAACTGAACTAGACCAAATTGAATTACTGTTTGGTCTGGTATGGATTTAGAAATGTTCTGGTTCAGTTTGGGATAATTTCAAATTTTTATTTATGATTTTGATTCGGTTTTTCTTTTTTTTTTCTTTTTTTTGAATTTTAGAAACCAAAGAAAACTGTAAACTGAAATATATTAAAATGTAATTTGTATGACAGTAATAGGTGACACTTGTAATTTGTTATTTATGCAGGTGTGTATGTTATTTGGGCTTTCTAATTGGATTAAGTCCAATCGAATGGTCCAAAACGTAGTAGAACTGTAACAAAATGGTTTGGTTTGATGTAAAAATTTCTCAAAACATAAACTAGGCCGAGATCTACTACAAACACGTGTGTACAATGATGGGCTATATAACCAATCAAGAACGAACGCAGCCGTGACTTGTACACTTGGAACCCAGGCCCTATGTACGGATCACTGGTGTGTTTACTCTTCCGTATTATGCATACCCTTGTTTGTAGCAGATGGAGTGTTTTCCCAATCCCAATTCACCCAATTTGAAGAATTTCCACTGAATTGGGCCTGGGCCCATTAAGCCCAAATTGGACCCTAAAATTGAAAATGCTGACAACATTTGTTGCTTTTGGTAGGGTTCAGCAATGCATATAAAGTGTACAAGCGTGTGATAGAAATGCCAAATGGATGCAGGATAGATGATTGTGTAAATTCATGCGAGAGGATATATGGACAAAGAACTATAGCTACGGCGTGTGGTTGTATTACAGGCTTTCATAAATGTATGTGCATTGGAGAAGGAGCCTTTTAATTCAGAGAAATTGATAGATAATTAAGAATATATGTAGCTCAATAGCTGTTTGTTAATGTCATCTGCGGCATATTATTTCAGTAATTTTATTATATGAGAAATTTTATATCTTGTCAAGACTTTTTGTTGAATATATTTTATCACAATTTATTTTTTTTTAAATATTTAATTATATTAGAATTATTAATCAGATTGGTTATTCTTGGATATGCCACTAAGGTTATGTTTGGTTTGAAGGAAAAGGTAAGAAAAGGAAAAAGACCTTTACAAGGTTTGCAATGGTTTTAATTCCTATCATTTCTTTCCTTTCCCTACTTTTTCCTTCAAACCAAACACAGCCTAAACAAATCTTCATAGGGAAAATTCCCGATTAGTACCTACCCTGTATTTTGGGCCTAGCGCCACTTTGGTCCATGAACTTTAAAATGCGACAATTCAGTACTTGAGCTTTCAAAATATGACAATCCAGTACCTGTTGTTGACTAGCCGTTAAGTGGCATTTGAAAAAGTCATAAATGCCCTTCGAGTGTCATCTAATTTTCTTTATCAACCATCCAAACATTGACAAAAAATTAATAGTCTCAAATCCTTGCCTCTTCTTCAAGAAAGTTGAGGTCACCAAAATGCCCACTCAAATGTGACCCCAACTTTCTTGAATAGAAAAAGCAAAGATTTGGGACTATTAATTTTTTGTCAACGTTTAGATGGTTGATAAAAAAAATTAAATAACACTTGAAGGGCATTTGTGTCTTTTTCAAATACCACTTAATGCTGGTTAACAGTTAGTTAACAGCAGGTACTGGATTATCATGTTTTAAAAGTTTGAGTACTAAATTGTGGCATTTTAAAGTTTAGAGACCAAAGTGACACTAGGCCCAAAGTACAAGGTACTAATCGAAATTTTTTCCACCTTTATATGCATGGTACATAAAAATTGTGTATCGCATGATTCAAAGGGGTGATACTCTTAATTTTTTTTTTTTTTTTTTAAGTATTAAGTCAGGACATATGTAAAATGTGTATTAACATTCAAGCCAGCCCACCCCATGTAACTGGGATTAAGCTTAGATGATGATGTTGTAGTATTAGCTTGGTTCATTTATATTTGATCACAACCCCTAAGGAACACACAAAGTACCTAATTTGGATAAAAGTCTAAACAGTTTAAGAATTTACCACGTGGCAAGATAGGTGTAAATTCCAAAGGCAACATGGAATCCTGCTTCGGTTAGTGCATTATGGACAGGTTAAGGTTGGGGTGCGAACTCGTAGCGTCGTTGGTTGTCTAAATCTCCCTCTGTAGCTTCTGTTGCTGTAGAAGTTAGGGCAGCTCTTCCCGGCTTTCATCTGTTAGACACATGCCACTTTCTGGTGCACGAAAGGGAGTTTGAGAAGGTACAGGGCATTCATCCGTCACGTGAACTGTTCATGTGCATGACACGTTAGCATGGGTATGGGGTAAAATAGTAATTAAAATCTTTTTTTTTTGTTTAAGGGAAATTGTCTAAAATTCACCATGAGTTTTCAACATTTTCCTTAAACTCACTACAATTTTTCAAAATGTTTAAAACTCACTATGTCAGTAAGTTTTTATTTTCCAAAACTCCCCTTCCGTTAATGCTTCTTAACAAAGGTGTCCATGTCAGCATAAATAACAATTTTCATGACCAAATTACCCTTGAATGGCGAGTAAGAGGAAAATTGGTCTTTTTCAATTTTCAATTTTCTTTTTTTTTTTTGCATTTTTAGTGTTTTGTTATAATTACCAAGGTTTTTTATAATTTCTGTTTCTTTACATTTTCTATTTTCTACCATCTATAAATTTTCCTGTATTTTTTGTTATTTATTTGTAATTTCCATGTTTTTCTTTAATTTTTGGTGTTTTTTCTACAATTTTTATTTTCTGATTTTGTTTTTCAATTTCTATAGTTTCTATAATTTCAAAATATTTTTTATTTTGTTTGCAATTTCTATAATTTTTTATATTTTTTGTAATTTTTATGTTTTTATGTATTTTATATTTGAAAATATTTTTTGAACTTTTTCCTTTATTTTCATGTCTAAATATTAAAATGGTAATATATTAACACCCGTTAATTTATTGTGTATATATTTTATATTTTTCTACAAAGGTTAAAATGGTAATACATTAACACCCGTTAGTCTGTTTAATGTCAAGTTAGTGACATGGTGAGTTTTAGACATTTTGAAAAATTGTGGTGAATTTAAGAGAAATGTTGAAAACTCATGGTCAGTTTTAGAGACCCTTAATTTAAAAGACAAACAAGAGTTCATATGGACTCCCCATAGAGTGGAGATCATATATGCGCCCTACGTGCACATCTCAGTGTGTATTGGGAATATCTCCTTAAGTTGTTAGTGCGAGATGTTCTCTAGGGGCGCAAATAGATCGGATCATGATCCGAGATCTGATTCTATTTGGTCGAATTCGAATCACCCCTAGTCGGATCTTCGGATCGGATCAGATTCTATGATCCAATCAAAAACGGATTGGATTCGGATCCCCCCCCCCTCCCCCGTATCCGATCCAAGAAGATCTTATTCGATGTGTTATATATTTATAAATAAATATATATATATATATAATACATATATATGTTATTTATTTATTTATAAATATATCATTTATATTGTATTTTTATAAATTTACTATATTATTTATTTTCTTATAAAAAGCATGCATATATATGATGAAAATAATTAAAAAATACTTGTATTTTTTTTGTTTTTTCTTTATTTAAATTGGTATATTTTATTTTTTCTTTTAATAATTTATTATTTTTTAAAGAAAATAAGTCGAATCAAATAAGATCCGAAGATCTAATAGGATTCGAATTCAGATCGAGTCCTATCAGATCCGATTGGATCTTCGAATCTGATATGAATAGTGTTAGATCAAATTCGAATATACCCTGATTTGAATCCAATCCGATCTATTTGCATCCCTAGTGTTCCCAATACACTATTGGAATATTCTGTGGGGTGTTTGTGGGGTGCCCTTTGTGGAGCATAGCGTGCACCCACAACACATCCCCATGTGTGCATTGGGCATATGAAGATGTTACCAAATGATGTGCTATGGGGCTCACTCTGTGGGGAACTCATCTGGGCTGAGCAGGATAATGTGCCATGTGCAAAAAGCCCCCAAACAATGCATGCTATTTTGTTCAAATAAGCAAAGTTTTTCCTATCTTACCATCCGCTGCCAATTGAGCAAATTTTAGTGTAGTAAGAGTCGTTGCTAGTTAAAAATGGCCAAAGTGGTTGAACAGAAAAGTGAAGTTCACATCTACGCCCCACAACGTCCCATAGAACATCCTCGCGTGTATTGGGAACATCTCCTGATGATAGTACCAGAACCGATGATGTCATCATTAGGAGATATTCCCAATACACAACGGGAATGTGTCGTGAGACATTGTGGGGTGCCCCCTTGTGAGGTGCAGATCTGAACTCATAAAAGTGATTCACTCAACATGCATTTCAAATATCAAGGAGCTCATATCCTAACTACTTAATGACTTACTAGCGAAGGAGCCCTGCGTTGCAGGGGCTCGCTCATAAACTATCAAGCTCGAGCTTGATTCGAATTAGAGACTTGAACTTGAGATCAAAAGTTCAAGCTCGACTCGGTTCAAACTCAACTACCTTTGGTTGTAGGTCCCCTAGCAGTCAAGATGCCGAGCTAAGGTTTCCCTCGTTGATAAACTATTAGGTTTGAGCTTGATTCGAATTAGAGACTTGAGCTCGAGCTCAAGCTTGGCTCGAGTCAAAAGCTTGGAAGTTCGAGCTCGGCTACCTTTGATTACAGGTTTCTCAAGCAACCGAGGTCTTCCTCAGCTACTAAAGTGTCGAGTTGATGTTTCCCTAGCAAGTGAGGTGTTGAGCTAAGGTCTCCCTTAGTTGACAAGGTGCCGAGCTAAGGTCTCCCTCAATTATCGAGGTGGTAAGCTGAGATCTCCCTCAATGATCGAGGTGTTGAGCCAAGGTCTCCCTCAGTGGTCGAGGTGTCATCTAGCTCAAAGTTCGAATTCAACTTGGCTCGAACTCGACTACCTTTGATTACAGATCCCCTACCAGTCGAGACACCGAGCTGAGTTCTCCCTTAGTTGGAGAGAGAGTGGCATTCTTGTAATTTATAAGGAGAGAGTGAGATGGCATTCTTGTAATTTGTAAGAAAAAGAGAAAGTGAGTTGGTAGGAGAGAGTGGCATTCTTGTAATTTGAAAGAAAAAAAAAAGCAAGAGAGAGAGTTGGTAGGAGAGAGTGACAGTCTTGTAATTTGAAAGGAAAAAAAGCAAAAGAGAGAGTTGGTAGAGAGTGGCATTCTTGTAATACTATTAGATTCCATTTCCCTCATCCTTAGGCCATGTTACGTACACATTTCAGCTTAATATATTTATATAGATTCACTAAAAGATAAAAGCAATAAATAGTTATGTTCAGCTGTTTCAGTTGTTGTTAAACGTATCTGGATCCAATAGGCACAATATGGTAAGCACATTCAATGAGCACTTTATAAATATTTTGGCAACCATCAAAAGTGGTTTTTAATCATTTTCAAGGGTAAGATGGGGGTATTTTAATAGACAGGTGTCAAAAAATTTGTAACTGCTCATTAAATGTGCTTACAATGTTGTGCCTACCTGACCCAGACTATTATATATTAAAGAACCCCTTAGTAAAAAAGTTTGATAATTTAAGGAGTATGTTAACCAAATAACCAATCCATTGCCCATAAATTGAGATGGTTACTCGGCATCCCTCTAAATGTGGAGGTGTGAGATCAAACCCATGTAACTGTAGGCTCTTTGAGCTAAGATCAGAAAAGGTCAATCCTCTCCCAAACCCCATCACTTGAAAGACCCAAGTGAAGGCATGATTTCAATCTCATATATCTGCTACAACCAAGAAAAACCTCACCAACATGTTAGCTGACACCTTAATGTTTGTATTATTTATTAGGGATCTCAAGAAATGCACAGAAGATATGATATTGGGAAGCTTGATACGTACAATAACAACATATTTAGATAGGAGATCCATCAATATAGAACAATGTTCAATATCTACCCTATATAATACATTTGTAAAAGA